TTACCTCTGATTGGCTACCAGCATTGCAGCTCTACCACTGACTCAGTTTGTTCTGCAACGTTGATGTTTTATCTCCACAAATAACACACGCCTGGAAGAGTTTTGCTGTGTGGTGGGGTTGCTAATTGTTTTTATTTTTATTTTTCTTCCCCGTGTCCTGTCTGGCTGTGAAGCAAACAGAATTAATGTCTGAATGCTGGTAACAAGCCTTACAGATTTACTATCAGGTTGAGCATCAAAGCATCTGCTTTTAAAGTAACGCCCGATACTTAAAACTTTATTGTTTTTTGAAGGCTTTGTAATTCCAACCAGACGCGGGGACAGAGGCGAAAGAGAAAGGAAGAGACAAACGGTGGATGTGTGTGTGTGTGTGTGTGTGGGGGGGGGGGGGGGGGGACCAAAATAAACGATAAATGACGAAAAAGAGTCTGCTTCTAGATGAAGAAATATAAAATCAACATTGTTTAACTGAACAATCACACGATAATAAATCACAGTGCATTTAGTGCCAACCACAGACATGTGTCCATACTTATAAGAGCACCTGTGTGTGTACACACACTTGTATATGTAAGGTTTCTCTATAGGAGTGTCCAATAGAGAGTGTGAGGGGCCACAGATCTGACCCCCAAAGATGTGTAGGAGATGGAGGGAGCTCCAAGTCCCAGAGATGCAGGCGCTGCCCCAGAGCGCAGGGAATCCAAGGAGACTGCGACCAGAAAAGCCCCTGCCCCCCTCGAGATGCGCAGAGGATTGCCGCGGGGGGCCACAACCAGCAGCCGGCAGAGTCCCGGGAGATATCAGTGGCAAGCCCACAGGCCCGCCCGCAGCTTCCTACCCCCTAACCGGCCGAGCCTGGGACCCAGCAACCCGAGACCCAGGGGTGACCAGCCCCACCCGTCTTAAACCAGGGAGCCGCAAACGTTCAGGCAGACCAAGGCACCACACTCCGCACCAAATGTGGCAGGAGGAGGACAGGCAAAGATGTGTAGCAGCACAAGAAGTCCCTGGACAGGGGAGGAGTCCAAGACCCCATCTGACATATACAGTCATACACAGACACAGTCACACACTCCCTCCCTCATGCTCACACATCAACATACAACCTAAGACTTACAAAAATGAATGCTAGACTCCCACTCACACTCCCCATACACACCCTATTCACTCTGGTCGTGGTACTGCTGCAAAAAGCGTACAACCATCACCGGTTCCCAGAGTAAGCCCCTTTCTGCTGGGGTGATGATGAGCAGGCTCCTCAGTTCAACGCCGAGCAAAGCGACCCACCACCCCAGACCCCAACATGACGGCCAGCTCCCCCTCCTAGCCTCCAGTCCCGGGAAGCCAAGCGACAACAGAGGTGACAACAGAGATGTGCTAAGACCCCTAATCTCCCTCCACCTGCTCCAATACAGTGTTGATGAGGTGTATTCCATGGCTGGGGTGGGCGGACAAGTGCGGGCATCGTCTGGCCTCCGCCAGCTGATGCCACAACACAACCCTACTTCCCCCCACATCCCTCGGTGTCTAAGTGCAGTTTAAAATTGGAAGTGGGCACCGGCACTCAGGATGAGGCTGAAAGATCCCCTTGCCAAATGTCGTTGAGTGTGCTCACTCCCAAGGCCCTAAGTGTGTGTTTGCATGGAATGTTGTTGGTGGAAGTGTTCAATGTGCAAATAAAATTGGGGGGGCAGGCTGCCACAGGAATGCAAAAATGGGATCCATATCCCCACTCCCTGACTTGCCCACCCCCCAAGGTCCTATGTGCATGTTTGTGTGAGGATGGGGAGGAACTGCTGGTTGGCCAAGCCCTCGAGGGAGCCAGCTCCCCCACTGGCCCCAGTCGGCACCTGTGGCCAAAATGCCACCCAGAGCATGGAGACCCCAGCTCATCTCACCAGGGCCCAAGGCAGCAGCATTGCAGAGCCCCACGGAGTCCAAGGGCACCAACTCAGCCCCGCTCCAGCAGAATATCTACATCCCATCATTTGCACAACTTCCAGAATATGTAAGACAAAAGACATCCAGGTAAGGTTGGGTCCTCCCCCTCCTGGACATCCCCCTCCCCATGATGGGACAAAATTGTTTTTGTTTCTTTTTTTAAACCAACTTTTATTTCATTTAAAAACATAGTAACTTTACAAAATAATAAAAAGAACAAATACAACTTACAATACTTAAATGAAAAGGAGAAAATCTTATATGTAATTAGCCCCATTCACACCATTAGCAAAAAATAAAAATATACTCACTAACAAAGATTACTAAGACAACTGCCAAGCAACTTTCCACTAATTAACTAAGAATCCTTGAATGGAGTTTCAACACATTAGTTAGAAATTATTGCTGATCAATACAGGGAAAACTAAATTAAAATAGAAAATACACCTAAGACTATTCCATATGCGTAGTTTTTGACATTCTGTTTTAACATTATGATTGATTTGGCCTCTTTCATTACATATTCACAGATATATGGGCTGCATGGTGGCACAGTGGTTAGCACTGTTGCCTCGCAGCACGAAGGTCGCAGGTTCGAAACTCGGCTGCAGCCTTTCTGCGTGGAGTTGCGTGTTCTCCCCATGCATGCGTGGGTTTCCTCCGGGTACTCCGGTTTCCCCCACAGTTCACAACATGCCCTATAGGTTATAAATTGTAAGTCGCTTTGGATAAAAAGCGTCTGCTAAGTGAATAAACATAACATAAACATATTCCAGACTGTTCTATATCCTGACTCCATATACAGAAACAGCGCTCCAACTTTTTAGTCCCAACTCCAGGTTTTATAAATATCTTGTACCCTTTTGAATTGTAGCAACTTTGTCTTTTTAGAAATTTCATTTGAATATTTATTGGTAATGATTTTTTTGTGAGCTTTATACATCAATTTTAATATGTTAGTATGCCCCAAATCTGGAAACTTTAATACTCTCAACTCAGCAAATAATGGACCAGACGGTGCTCTAGAACTACTCTGAGTAATGATTCTTATGGCTTCTTTGCAGTAACAAAAGTGATTGTGTATGAGTTTTATCTATAGTTCCCCAGAGTTCAATACAATAAGTCATATACGTTACAATCAAAGAATTATTTACTTGACGTAATTCTTTTTTCTTAAAAAAAATGTTTTATTTCATGCATAAACAAATTGCTCTTGCTATTTTTGTTTTTACACCATTAACATGTGGCTTCCATGTAATATCTTCAACGATAACGACCCCTAGAAACTTATTTTCCTTCACTCTTTCAATTTTAAAATCTTCTATAACTAATGACATGTCACTATTTGCTCCTCTTGTTCCAAATACCATAAACTGAGTTTCAGAGGAGCCAAGGTCCCCCTGAAGCCCCTGAGCCTGGGCCAGGCACTGCCGCTTGTTCACGCCTTTTACCCGGCAGCATACAAGTCTGGACCCAATCCCCAAGGCCCTGCCCAGATTCCCACACGGGACCAGCCGCCTCCACACCCCGAGCCCCCAGCCTCACTCACAACTGCCAGTAGTCCACCCCCCTGAGTCAACCCAAGCATCTCCAGAGCAGGGCAGCAGCCCCCCAGACACCCCCAGTGAACCCACCTCCAGGGAACATGTGGATACTCCAAACACAGACCTTCCGCCCCATCACCCACACCATCCCGCAGAACAATATCAACGACCCCCCCATCATCGCTATGTGATGGAACCGATCAAAGGAGCCCAGACAGATTCATCTGAAGTGGAAGCAGATGCTATATCAAGTGTAATATGATCTAACAAAAGATTTCTATACTGGTTAATGCAGAGATTTTCTCTATTTTTCCAATTTATGAGGATAGTATTCTTAGCAATGCATATGGCAGTCAGAACCACGTGAACCAAAGATGTTTCAATCGGGACATCGTCCAGGTTTCCCAGCAAACACAGAGAGGGGGTGGTTGGGATATGACATTTCAGACACTTAGACACTTCACACACTCTACCTCAAAATTCCTGGACAGGTGGACAGGACCACAGTGCATGAATGTAATTGTCAGGAATGTTGTTTGTGCAGTGTGTACAGGTGTCAGACGACACAAACCCCATCTTGAACATCCGATGACCTGTATAGTGTACTCTGTGTAGAATTTTGTACTGAATTAATTGTAAATTGGAGTGTCTGATCATTTTAAAAGTTTTTAAACAAGTTTGGGACCAGAAGTTCTGGTCAAAGCTAACTGATAGACCCACCTCCCATTTTTCAATAGGGATTGCTATTGCATTGTCTATTATACAACAGTTAGTTCAGAACAAGTGATTTGATTGGTCAAGAGACTTTCCAAGAGTGCTGATATTGGTCTATAACAGCACTGGGACGGTTTACAAACAGTATCACTCCGCTGTGCACAGGCGTTCTAACCGTTATTGTAGAAAATGTTTGTGTTGCCTAGCAACAGCCTTGTCTGAGTCTCTGTTTTATGTTGGGACTATTTGTGTTGGCGGAGCCTGATAAATGATTAAATAAATGAAGAAATCATAATCTGTTGTTGCTTATTGTTGTTATAAAAATAAAATGAGCAGGTAGAACTGTTGTATAAAAGCAATATCACACTCGAGGTCGTGCGTTGTTGCTGAATATCAGCACTGGGGTGATTATCTACGGCACTCGGCCTGCGGCCTCGTGCCTACGACTGAATCGCACCAGTGCTGATATTCAACAACAATGCACTGCCTCTAGTGTGATATTGCTTAATTTTGGACAGTGTCTTATATATGTTTAGACAGTAGTTTGGGGTGTTTGAGATTACAGAAGTCTAATTCCATTGATGGTGTTTGTAATTCTACTTTATTAAGCTAAAATTTTTGTTTAACTGCAGATTTAATTTGGTAATATTCTAAAAAGCCATTGTTATCTATCCCAAATTGGGAAAATATTATTTTATTTTAGAGTTTTTGTCTTAGTTAAGAGAGGTTTTGAGTTGCAATAAAGGCCCAGTACAATCTTTCAGCAAACAAACAAACATAGATCGACAAACACGAATTTACCATTTCCATTACCTCCATCGTCTGGGTCATCACCATAGTCTTCATCATCGCCAGACGACAACGAGTCTGAATTAAAACAAAAATGATAGGAAACATTTAGAGTTTCAGTAAATTTCTGACTAAACAGATTAAAATGTGCAACACTCATATTAAATGTTTTATTTTAGGCTCTGAGTGATGTGAGTCATTGGAATAAAGGTCACGTTGAACTGGAAGGTTGGAAAGTCAAAAGAATAATAATGCATAAACACAGCTGATTTACTCTCTCAGGTGCATGAAGGGGAAATGGATCACATATTTTATGATATATAAATCCAAGGATGATAAAATGTATTAAGCAATAATAGTGTTGTGTCACATCCATTTAAACACAAGTAAAATACATTCTAGTGAGTTTATTTTCTCTAATGGGTTTGTCAGTCAGGTTTAAATTAGCTGGATCTTGTCGTTTTGGGGTAATTTTGCTACCATTTTCACTTTGACCTTAAGGTTTTCCAGTTCAGCCACACAGGTCTGGATAATGAGAGCCAGCTGCTACCTGGAGAGCCTAGCTGAGCTAAAACTACTCTTGAAAGTCTGGTCCAGCAGCTTTTTGTTTCCACACCTCGATTTATATAACTTCACTAACTTTTTGTTGTGGTAACACTCAGCAAAGAGCAGGTTATTTTCAAAAGATTAACAAAAAAGTTAGCTTAAGTTGCTTACCGATGTAAACAAGTTGCCAACTTTGCCAGAATTCCCTGCACTGGATTAATCAAATTAAAAGACAAACACGGTTTCACTTGAAACTTGAACAGATTAAAAAGAGGAAAAAAAATTCCGGATCTATGCCTCTTGTCACTGGCAGGGTCACCGGGTTCAGCTGCTACTGTCACACCAGGAAAGGAGGAGATAGATATCTCGTATCCACGATGCTCATCATACTAAATCAATAATATTGTCACGCACGTATTCCTACAATTGGAACAATATTAATAAATCACTACAGTGGACAGAAAATGTCCACTATACTGAAATATAAAATTGTAAATACTAAATGAATAATATAATGGCATAAAATACATTGATAAATGCCAGAACTTTTGATTCATAGTTGGTGTACATCCCCGCTTTATTCCATCAGAAGTTTATGATAAAAATACGAGTTGCTTTTACACCCTTGTTCGTTAGCGCAGCCGACCGCACAACAAGCTCCTAAAACTTTACTGTAAAACAGCAAATTAGCTGTTTTTGGAATAGCTAATTAGAGTTTCAATGCACACAAATAGATCAGATGACATCTGTCATGGCAGAAGGGGCATTCCCAGAGTAGCATGACATCATGTGCATCAAAATGAAAGTACAGTGCAATTTTTTTTCTTCCTCCCCTCTTCTGTTGTGTATCCTGGGTGTTTTGTTCTGTTATAAAACAAATAATAATGAAGCAGTGTCATCCTATAAATAATAATAACAACAACAACAACAACAACAATAATACATTTGTTGTAAATTTAGCTTCTCAATAAATACATTTGGGAAAAAAAGTGTTATTTTAATTAGCAGGTTAGCAAAGAGCTAAAAGGTTGGGTACTGCAGGCAGTCAGTGTTGTTTATGTTTCCAATTTAAGAGTGTTTAGACCTATCTATGCACTCCTTTTTGAAAAAGAAACTTGAAACAAATGCAGCAACCTCATATTACTCTGCAATTAAACTTAGATTTGATTTACCTTATTACGTTTTATGCCTAAAGAAATAAAACCTCTTTGCACACAAGAATAAACATTAAACTAAACTTAAAGTGGAACAAGAAACATCAACGACAAAATGATTAAGTTAAGGTCTGCAGATCCTCTCAAGACAACTAAATTACAGAAATCAAGAGGAAAATATATGCCCATCCGTTCATGTTCTACCCAAACGTGTGCGATTTCCTCTGTTCTGCCTATACCCAGCATACACTTGGTGGAGGGTGGGGCTTTACCTGGACAGGTCAACACCTATTCTCGGTGCTTTAATAACTTGGCATAAACAAGTATTATGGGAAGTTGCCACATGATCTTTGAACTGCAGGTGAGTTCCCTCTGAATCTGTTCGTGCTCTTCAGCTGCAAGCTTTTGTTAGGACAGAAAGAGAGAAGCTCTCACCTGTTATCCTGATGGTGAAGTTACTGAGGAGCATATTGGTGTGGGCCAGCCAGCATGTGTACATTCCAGAGTCTTCGTATGACACATTGATGATGCGTAAAATGCGCTGTCCCACGAGCGTCCGGTTGCTTGGCACCACTCCAACACCATCTTTGAACCAGACGATAGGCTCAGATGGGCCCTCCAGCTCACAGGACATTTCCAGAGTATCTCCCATTCCAAGAACATAGTCCTCCAAAAACGCTGCTTCGCTGGACACGGATTCTACAAACAGAAAGGATTTCAGAAAAATTAACTGGATTTCAAAAAAATGCTACCTCTGGTTTAATTTTTATCTAGGTGAAAACATACACTTAGCACTAATACTGACTCCAAATGCCTTAACATGCCCAGTTTAAAACATTCCAATGAGGACAAATCATTTTACACATGCACAGCTGAGGCTATCTAGGTACCTGTTCCTAAACACACACACGCACGCACGCACACACACACGCACGCACACAGACACACACACACACACGCACACAATTTCATGAATCACTAAATAAATGTGTCAAGTCTGATTTATGATGACAGACATGCCCACTGTTACAGACAGAAGGAATAAAGCTGTTACTGAAGAGCAAACATGGACACAGAGTTCTCAAACAGGCTTAAAATCAGATCAGGAAACTGGAGCTGAGGGGTAAGGTTAAAGTCAAACACGGTATGGCTCTCAATACTGAAGCAGAACACACAACAGGTGCTCTAAATGAGAGCAGCATTTTGTTTTTGGAGTTGTGGTCAAACACACCTACACACTGGCAACCGTTCAATTTATGTTCCTGAGCCAGACAATTAAAAAAATCTAAATCTGATATTTACATCATGTTTCTTTTATAAAACTGAAGGCGTTAAGTTAATAATAATGAATATATACCATGGCATCTGGCTCTGTTAATTAAATCAGCCCTACTTTTAATCAGAAGAACAATACTTAAATATGCAGTGCGAATATCCAAGCCCTGAATGTTTCTGTTATGACTTTGAAAGGCGGCTCACCAGGTAGCTACAATAGATACAGTACAATATTCTCCAGAGACTCACAGCTCATGGACCTGATGGTGGTGGACTTCCATTTACCCAGGTTACATTCACACTGCAGGTAAAAGTGATCTAAATCAGATTTTTTTGACAGTCTGAATAGCACAGATCCAGTGGCGGCTCCAGAAATGTTTTTCTGCAGGTGCTATGAAGGGAGTGGTCAAGCGTACCTATTGTTCTCTAAAACACCTTCAACACTAGCAGATTAGTGATGGGAATTCTGGATTTTTTTTTAGAGAGCCGGTTCTTTTGGCTCAGCTCACCAAAAAGAGCCGGCTCTTTCGGCTCCCAAGTGGCTCCTCAGATTTTCTGTTGCGTAGAGTACATTTATGACCAAAATAATGCGAAACTATATGTAAAATGATTTACTAATATAAATAAATGCAAGATATCAAATATTTATCATTTCTATGGATTTAATAACTGAATACTTTAAGAAATCTCCACTTTCCGACTGCTGGCGCTCATTTCCTCACCATCCTCGTCACACTCTCCTCCCTCTCACTCACCTTTTTCCTCCTCCTCATTCCCTCTCGTCTCCCTCCACTCGCATGTGCTCTGCTGTGTGTCTGAGTCTGATCCTCCCTCTTCCCCGCCCCTACTGCTCTGTGTGTGGACAGTCTGGACACGCAGTTACACATGTTGACCAATCACCTGTAGCTTTCACCAAAGGGGGGGGGGGACGGCTCCCAATGATGAGCCGGCTCCCGTCGTTCACTTCAAAGAGCCGGCTCTTAAGCCTGGTTCATGCTTCTCCGTCAGCTCCGCAAGGGACAGACACGCACGAATTGACGGAAGCGTTTTGCACTTTTACTTCTCCGTCTCCTGGAGAGTGTTGCAAAGCAATTTCCCGGCAGGACAACAGAGGGCGTAGCGCTGTTCTGTGGTATCCTGTCATGAATCGGTCCAAGATAAAAAAAGAAAAAGGAAAAAGAATCGGTCCAAGATCGTGTGTTTATATTGTGTTTTTTGTGTATATAAGAGACTTTTAACGCTGACATATTTGTCTCTCATTCTCCCACCTCTCCATGCGCTCCCCACCTCTAAACCCACGTTTCCTGTCATTTTCGTCCACAAATAAAACGCTTGCTGCGCATCTTTTCACTCCTCCAGTCACGGGACGATGAAACGTTCATATTTTTAGAGTTTATTCGCGAGGTATTCTTCAAGCTTCTCCGTGTCTGCCGCTAGTTATCCTCGGCTCTCTTTGCAATGGCGGCGCTGTAAACAACAGCGGCGTCCTGACCAATCACAAGCTTGCGTAATCTGTCTCGTTCGACGGATGTTTAAAAAAGTGGGCTCGACTCCGTACGTACTTGCGTGCCTGCCGGAGCCCTACGCAAAGACGGATAATGGCGTTGCGTGTCTCCGCACTGACGCAGACGGAGAAGCATAAATCAGGCTTTAGAGCCGGTTTGTTCGCGACCGACACATCACTATAGCAGATACACGTGCGTGCACAAAATCTCAACACCACCTGAAACAATCATTAATATATATTAATATATATTGTTCATAAACATGAACAATCGCTGACTTTTCCATGAAATCATAAACACATAGAGCCACACAGAAAACCATCTGTTGCAAGGTTAGCTAACGTTAGTGTTAGCATTTCAAGCGGCAAAACCCTCGACTGCTGCGGCGGTTGAGGGTTGACTCTCTTCATCTAGATCCGTAGGTTTTTGTGGGTCTGAGATCACTTCCAAAGATTCATTCATTTCTGACAGAATCCGTGGAAATTTGGGCAACAAAAACCGATCCATTTTACCGCTAGTTCTACCTTTCACTCGTTCACAGGTGGAAAATGAGGTCAAAGGTTAACATCAATTTCCTGTTTAAAAGTTTTTACTATCTATATGATAATTTACTGATTTTTTTTTTTGTATGTTAAATATTATCACATCCACACATTAAATTAAAATTAAATTGTAAAAAAAAAATCTAATATTTATTTGGGGGTGCTATGGGGGTCGTCGTCGTCATCGTCTTCCTCCGCTTATCTGGGTCCGGGTCGCGGGGGCAGCATCCCAACTAGGGAGCTCCAGACCGTCCTCTCCCCAGCCACCTCCACCAGCTCCTCCAGCAGGACCCCAAGGTGTTCCCGGACCAGATTGGAGATGTAATCTCTCCAACGTGTCCTGGGTCGACCCGGGGGCCTCCTGCCGGCAGGACATGCCCGAAACACCTCCCCAGGGAGGCGTCCAGGAGGCAAACTGACCAGATGCCCAAACCACCTCAACTGGCTCCTTTCGATCTGTAGGAGCAGGGGATCTACTCCGAGTCCCTCCCGAATGTCCGAGCTCCTCACCCTATCTCTAAGGCTGAGCCCGGCCACCCTACGGAGGAAACTCATTTCGGCCGCTTGTATCCGCGATCTTGTTCTTTCGGTCATTACTCAAAGCTCATGACCATAGGTGAGGATTGGGACGTAGATCGACCGGTAAATCGAGAGCCTGGCTTTCTGGCTCAGTTCCCTCTTCACCACGACAGATCGGCTCAGCCTCCACATCACTGCAGACACCTAACCAATCCGCCTGTCGATCTCCCGATCCCTCCTACCCTCACTCGTGAACAAGACCCCGAGATACTTAAACTCCTCCACTTGAGGTAGGACCTCTCTCCCGACCCGGAGTTGGCAAGCCGTTGTTTTCCGGTCGAGAACCATGGTCTCAGATTTGGAGGTGCTGATCCTCATCCCAGCTGCTTCACACTTGGCCGCGAACCTACCTATGGGGGTGCAATGACTAATCCAGGGGTAGCTATAGCGCCCGCCCCTGGCGCCGCCACTGCACATATCCAATGTAAAACCTGACCTAGGTCACGTTTACGCTACTGACAAATGTCATAGATCAAATGTAAACAATGGACAAAACAAGCTTCCCTTCATCGCCTGGTTTGTCAGTTCTGAATCAAAACTTTGAAAATTGACACAATAATATGTAACATCTATACTTCCATCTGTAGACCAAAGCCACATGATCTTCTGTGCAGATGGGTCGCTTTGGGGCGGCAGAGTGTTACCACTGGAAACTGATGGCACCTAATTTTAAATGATAAGAACAACCACTCTAGTTAAATCTAATTTTTAGGGATGTTTGATGTGGGCTTTTTTACCAATATCCAATGTATCGGTAATGTCTGACTCTTAATTTCCGATACCAATATAAACCAATATCGATATATTCTGTGTCTCCCTTATAAAAAAGGAAAATTAAAACATTTTAGGCTAAAATTTTAAACATTTTTGGTGCAAATTGGCAGCTACTTCAATTTAAGTTAGTAATAAGAAGAGTGGCATTTATTTTGTCCCCAACGGCAGCTGAATCACATTCTCCCTAAGCGTGAGGCTAAGATGTGCGTATAAGTTAGTAATTTATTCTCTTGTTCTGTATATTTGAGCTATGCTGATAAAGCATTTATAGAGATCTTCAGATAAGAAAAACAAGCCTGGGGTGAAGATTCGTGTGTTTGTTTTAGTGGTTTGTTAGCATGCTAGCTACACAGAGCTATGTGCTGTGAGGACAGGATAGTTCACTAACACAGGATAATTTTTATTTCACAAGCTCTGCCAAATAAACAAAAATATCTCAAGAACATTGCCTCAGAGCTGTCATATTTTGACATTTGTAGAGAGAGGAGAAGTAGCTGAAGAGTTTGATGTTTAATGTGTGCACGATATGTAAAGGTTGGATCATTAAGATAAGACTTTATTGATCCCACATTTTAATGCCAATATTGGCTGATTTTAATGTTAGACCAATAATATTGGAATTTTAACAACAAATAAATCTAAACTGAGAACTGAAACACCCACAAAAGGAAAAACAACAGCTGCATCTGTAACCTGTAGCATGAAGGTGTTTCCTAAAGGTTGACTCATCAAAATAAAAAATAAAAATCTAATTTAGTCCAAACCGTGAAACAAGACACTGTAAAGTAAGTGTGTGCTGCTTTGTTTTAACTTATAAGAGAAAAGTTGGTTCTACTGGAATTTAAAGTCTGTGTTTGGACGTGTATAATTCCAGAAGCTAAATAAAAACAAGTCACTAAAAACAAAGTTAGATCCAACAAGCTTTACAGAGCCCATTTCTGGTGACAGTCCAGTGGAATGAGGTAAGAAGTGTTAGAGACAGATCCACATTGAGTGAGACACATAGACAGATGCATGGAGCAAA